CCGAGAAGTTATTAGTGGCTCTAGGCATAAATACGGATTGGCAAATTTTCATATTTTTGAATTCGGCCTTACAAGGTACGTCACACTGTAATTTTCAAAAAATAACTTACCATTTTTTTTATTAAAAACTTTAGGACGTTTTCCGTGCGCATGTTAAATTAAGAAAATTTAAAATAAATGTGTCTAGTTTGTTGCATTCCTTGGCAAAAACTTTAGGACGTTTTCCGTGCGCATGTTAAATTAAGTCGATGCTGGGCAATAGCTTAATTAAAAATGTGGACCAGATAATAAGCCGAGAAGTTATTACCCAAATAAACTACAGTGGCTCTAGGCATAAATATGGATTGTCAAATTTTCATATTTTTGAATTCGGCCTAACAAGGTACATCACACTGCAATTTTCAAAAATTAGTTACCATTTTTTTTAAATTAAAAAAATTTAAAATAAATGTGTCTAGTTTGTTGCATTCCTAGGTACATAATGGTGCATTCCTAGGTACATATGGGTGCATTCCTAGGTACAGCTGGATGCATTCCTAGGTACTTGTTCCAGGTGCATTAAAAAAGGGAGTCCAGAATGTGTCTAGTTTGTTGTATCTGGGTGCATTTCTAGGTACATGTTCCAGGTGCGTTAAAAAAGAGTGCGTCCAGAATGTGTCTAGTTGGTTGCACCTTGTTCCAAATGCATTAAAAAAGAGTGCGTCCAGAATGTGTCCGACGAATCTAGTATACCCTTTTACTCTACGAGTAGCGATTCCCCGACTCCATAAAACAATAAACTTAAGAAACATCATATTTTAATATTTCTGAATTTCGAAATAAGTTTTATTCCTGTTTTCAGACCATTTTTTTTTCAGATACCGCTTTATAGGTCGATGCTGGGCAATAGCTTAATTAAAAATGTGGACCAGATAATAAGCCGAGAAGTTATTACCCAAATAAACTACAGTGGCAAATTTTCATATTTTTGAATTCGGCCTTACAAGGTACGTCACACTGTAATTTTCAAAAATTACTTACCATTTTTTGATTAAAAAACTTTAGAACGTTTTTCGTGCGCATGTTAAATTAAAAAAATTTAAAATAAATGTGTCTAGTTTGTTGCATTCCTAGGTACATATGGGTGCATTCCTAGGTACATATGGGTGCATTCCTAGGTACATTTGGGTGCATTCCTAAGTACATCTGGGTGCATTCCTAGGTACGTCTGGGTGCATTCCTAGGTACATGTGCACTAGGTGCACTAAAAAAGAGTGCGTCCAAAATGTGTCCGACGAATTTAGTATACCCTTTTACTCTACGAGTAGCGATTCCCCGACCCCATAAAATAATATACCTAAGAAACATCATATTACTGAATTTCGAAATAAGTTTTATTCCTGTTTTCTAGTAATTTTTTTTTTCAGATACCGCTTTATAAGTCGATGCTGGGCAATAGCTTAATTAAAAATGTGGACCAGATAATAAGCCGAGAAGTTATTAGTGGCTCTAGGCATAAATATGGATTGGCAAATTTTCATATTTTTGAATTCGGCCTTACAAGGTACGTCACTCTGTAATTTTCAAAAAATAACTTACCATTTTTTTTATTAAAAAACTTTAGGACGTTTTCCGTGCGCATGTTAAATTAAGAAAATTTAAAATAAATGTGTCTAGTTTGTTGCATTCCTTGGCAAAAACTTTAGGACGTTTTCCGTGCGCATGTTAAATTAAGTCTATGCTGGGCAATAGCTTAATTAAAAATGTGGACCAGATAATAAGCCGAGAAGTTATTACCCAAATTAACTACAGTGACTCTAGGCATAAATATGGATTGTCAAATTTTCATATTTTTGAATTCGGCCTAACAAGGTACATCACACTGCAATTTTCAAAAATTAGTTACCATTTTTTTTAAATTAAAAAAATTTAAAATAAATGTGTCTAGTTTGTTGCATTCCTAGGTACATAATGGTGCATTCCTAGGTACATATGGGTGCATTCCTAGGTACAGCTGGATGCATTCCTAGGTACTTGTTCCAGGTGCATTAAAAAAGGGAGTCCAGAATGTGTCTAGTTTTTTGTATCTGGGTGCATTTCTAGGTACATGTTCCAGGTGCGTTAAAAAAGAGTGCGTCCAGAATGTGTCTAGTTGGTTGCACGTTGTTCCAAATGCATTAAAAAAGAGTGCGTCCAGAATGTGTCCGACGAATCTAGTATACCTTTTTACTCTACGAGTAGCGATTCCCCGACTCCATAAAATAATAAACTTCAGGCAATTTTTTTCAGATACCGCTTTATAAGTCGATGCTGGGCAATAGCTTAATTAAAAATGTGGACCAGATAATAAGCCGAGAAGTTATTACCCAAATAAACTACAGTGGCTCTAGGCATAAATATGGATTGGCAAATTTTCATATTTTTGAATTCGGCCTTACAAGGTACGTCACACTGCAATTTTCAAAAACTAGTTACCATTTTAAAATTATTAAAAAAATTAATTTATTAAAAAAATTTAAAATAAATGTGTCTAGTTTGTTGCATTCCTAGGTACATCTGGGTGCATTCCTAGGTACTTATGGGTGCATTCCTAGGTACAGCTGGATGCATTCCTAGGTACTTGTTCCAGGTGTATTAAAAAAGGGAGTCCAGAATGTGTCTAGTTTGCTGTATCTGGGTGCATTCCTAGGTACGTCTGGGTGCATTCCTAGGTACATGTTCCAGGTGCATTAAAAAAGAGTGCGTCCAGAATGTTTCCGACGAATCTTGTATACCATTTTACTCTACGAGTAGCGATTCTCCGACCCCATAAAACAATAAACTTAAGAAACATCATATTTTAATATTTCTGAATTTCGAAATAAGTTTTATTCCTGTTTTCAGACAATTTTTTTTTCAGATACCGCTTTATAGGTCGATGCTGGGCAATAGCTTAATTAAAAATGTGGACCAGATAATAAGCCGAGAAGTTATTACCCAAATAAACTACAGTGGCTCTAGGCATAAATATGGATTGTCAAATTTTCATATTTTTGAATTCGGCCTAAAAGGGTACATCACACTGCAATTTTCAAAAATTAGTTACCATTTTTTTTAAATTAAAAAAATTAAAAATAAATGTGTCGAGTTTGTTGCATTCCTAGGTACATAATGGTGCATTCCTAGGTACATATGGGTGCATTCCTAGGTACAGCTGGATGCATTCCTAGGTACTTGTTCCAGGTGCATTAAAAAAGGGAGTCCAGAATGTGTCTAGTTTGTTGTATCTGGGTGCATTTCTAGGTACATGTTCCAGGTGCGTTAAAAAAGAGTGCGTCCAGAAGAGTGTGTCTAGTTGGTTGCACCTTGTCCCAAATGCATTAAAAAAGAGTGCGTCCAGAATGTGTCCGACGAATCTAGTATACCCTTTTACTCTACGAGTAGCGATTCCCCGACTCCATAAAATAATAAACTTAAGAAACATCATATTTGAATATTTCTGAATTTCGAAATAAGTTGTTTTCCTGTTTTCAGGCAATTTTTTTCAGATACCGCTTTATAAGTCGATGCTGGGTAATAGCTTAATTAAAAATGTGGACCAGATAATAAGCCGAGAAGTTATTACCCAAATAAACTACAGTGGCTCTAGGCATAAATATGGATTGGCAAATTTTCATATTTTTGAATTCGGCCTTACAAGGTACGTCACACTGCAATTTTCAAAAACTAGTTACCATTTTAAAATTATTAAAAAATTTAATTTATTAAAAAAATTTAAAATAAATGTGTCTAGTTTGTTGCATTCCTAGGTACATCTGGGTGCATTCCTAGGTACTTATGGGTGCATTCCTAGGTACAGCTGGATGCATTCCTAGGTACTTGTTCCAGGTGCATTAAAAAAGGGAGTCCAGAATGTGTCTAGTTTGCTGTATCTGGGTGCATTCCTAGGTACGTCTGGGTGCATTCCTAGGTACATGTTCCAGGTGCATTAAAAAAGAGTGCGTCCAGAATGTTTCCGACGAATCTTGTATACCATTTTACTCTACGAGTAGCGATTCTCCGACCCCATAAAACAATAAACTTAAGAAACATATTTTAATATTTCTGAATTTCGTAATAAGTTTTATTCCTGTTTTCTAGTAATTTTTTTTTCAGATACCGCTTTATAAGTCGATGCTGGGCAATAGCTTAATTAAAAATGTGGACCAGATAATAAGTCGAGAAGTTATTACCCAAATAAACTACAGTGGCTCTAGGCATAAATATGGATTGTCAAATTTTCATATTTTTGAATTCGGCCTTACAAGGTACGTCACACTGTAATTTTCAAAAATTAGTTACCATTTTTTGATTAAAAAACTTTAGGAGGTTATTCGTGCGCATGTTAAATTAAAAAAATTTAAAATAAATGTGTCTAGTTTGTTGCATTCCTAGGTACATATGGGTGTATTCCTAGGTACATCTGGGTGCATTCCTAGGTACATATGGGTGCATTCCTAGGTACATCTGGGTGCATTGCTAGGTACATCTGGGTGCACTCCTAGGTACGTCTGGGTGCATTCCTAGGTACATGTTCCAGGTGCATTAAAAAAGAGTGCGTCCAGAATGTGTCTAGTTTGCTGTATCTGGGTGCATTCCTAGGTACATGTTCCAAGTGCATTAAAAAAGAGTACGTCCATCATGTGTCTAGTTGGTTGCATCTGGGTGCGTTCCTAGGTACTCGGCTAGTGATCCTGATCAAGAATATATATACTTTAAGGGGTCGGAAACGCTTCCTTCTGCCTGTTACATACTTTCCGACGAATCTAGTATACCCTTTTACTCTACGAGTAACGGGTATAATCATATAAATGGTTTATTTATATCACGTTGGGCATTATTCAGAACTTATAAGCTAAATTTCAAACAAGTATTACAACTAATTTGCCTAATTTGTTAATAACAAAACCTCCGTTGATTCCTTACATTTATGAACCATTTTTTTTTACTAAGAAAGGACACAACACACAAACATTGAATTTTTATTTCTTTAATATCAGGCATTTCGTTTTTGTTGAGGTATAAAATGTAATTTAATTTAGAAAGTTTTTTATAAAGATACTATAGTTTAGGCAATTATTCCCATCTCATTCGGACATGATTATCATTTCAAAGCCGACCAGCTCGTTGATTTCCTGGGCGTAGGCCCGCAGTTCGTGACTTCCGCTTACAATGTGTCTGGCACCCAGCATCCGAATGTTAAGTCTCAGAGCGACCACGAGGCTAGCAATGGCCAGGATCAGCAGGTGGATCCAAAGCATAACAGCCAGGACGAGGAACAACAGGAAATTGTGGGCCTCAAAGCAGGGCTCCTTGGCCAGGCACTCCCACATGTGGCAGGGAAAATGGCTGAGTCCCTGGACCGCCCTCATGCTCCAGGGCAGGAGCATCAAGGGACTGCACCGTTGCCAGACGGACAGACCTGTTATCCGGACTCTGGAGAAGAATCCCCCGAGGGATCCCTTGCTGGGCAGGTATATCAGACCGTACCCGTAGAACATGGCACCCATTGCGAAGCCGGAAAACAAAAGACTGCAGGCGAGCTCTCTCAGCTGGGCCACTAGGTAAACACGGGTCATGGGTCGCTGAAGCTCCGGAGACTGGTCAATTTGGAATCGTACCTCCAATAGCGAAAGCATCAAAGTCAGTTGAAGCACCGTGAAAACACCGAGCCAGCGGTGCGTACGTAAACAGTTCGGAATATAATCACGCATTTTGATTTGTATTTATTTAGTTTAAGCCAGACAGTTCCCAAAACTGTTCCTACAAAAAAAAAATGTTGTGTCTAAAATGTACCAGTTCGGATAGTTATGTAAATTTAAAAAAGTTAAGTACTGTTAAAAAAAAGTATTGTTTTATTGCTTTGACTACTATTGTATAGTAGGATACCCGTTACTCAGCTGATGGGAGTGTAAGAGAGATGGAGATATGCAAGCGGCAAAGCGAGTGTCCCCGATTTCACAAACTGGCTCCACCTAGCGGTCAAAACTTTAATTGATAATAAATTTTATAGAATAGTCCAATTTCATCAGCTTGTGGAATGTATGTGGCTATTGACAGACGAAACAAAATCCCAATCACACTTTTACAAAATCTTTAAATCTTTAAGTAAGACAGAGTGGAGTCTGGGTTTTATAGTTTTCGAGATTTCAGCGTTCATACGGACAGACAGACAGACGGCTAGTAATCCTCATAAAGAATATATATACTTTATAAGGTCGGAAACGCATCCTTCTACTTATTACATATTTTCCAAGGTCTACAATATATCCTTTTAATCTACGAGTAACGAGTATAACTACTATAAAGTAGAAAGTTGTTGAATGCATTTTGTTGTTGTGAGTGTAACTATTTCTTTTGTTAAATTAACAATTCGATCAGTTAAGGAACTGGGAATGGGTGCGTGGAGATATTCATATACTTTTCTGCTTTCATAAAATACTGTGGGAGATATTTACATAAGTATATAGAGTTATTAGCCTTACAGTCTTAGTCCTAGAAAACCTTTTCAGTTTCCATTGGAAGTTTCTAATTACTCTATTTGAATGCAAATAAAGTCATATATTTTCACTACCTTAATTTAACTCGAGCACCTAAAAACTAAAACGCTTAACGCTTTGGAGCTCAATAACTTTGACTTAAAGTTGGGGAAGATAAAATGTGAAAATTAAAAAAAAAGGTGCTTATTGTGATTTGGTCAAGACAAAAACAAAGATTAAGTTTTTGGCATACTCGAAAAACATACATACAAAGTTGTCTACCCACAGAACAAAAAAAGCAACTAGCTCACCAAAATGTGAAACCTTAGAGACTTTCCGCTCCTCTCGGCTTTAGCGCGTATGCAGCGCACCCACTATTGGTATTTTCTGATTTTAATTCGAATTATGCGCCAAAAGCCACAATCTATTAATAAACTTCATTTAACAGGCGATAATCATTTCAGTAAAGTCCCAATTTGTTATAAGGTGGTTATTTGACGATTTTAATGGAATCAAGAGAGCTCTATAGTCGAAAATCATTTACCTGTTACTAAGCTAATCAAGTTAACTTATTACTTGTCCAATAAAATATTGGGTAGAATACGCCCCATTCAAATTACTACTACGTTCATACGTACGTTATTGATTGACTACGACGTAATGGCTAACTTTTCGCCAAATAGACTGGTTTTTATAAATGTAAGCAATCGCAATTTCACATAAAAATTTCATTAAGAAGAAGCAGCTAATAGTTTGTTGAACAACATTAAAATACAAATCCAAAAGCTTGTAACTTAGTTATTCATAACTTTTTTTAATAACATTGCGATTAGTATAATTACACCAGTTTACAAAAAAAAATTGATGAAATACGCCTTTCAGGAAACCTTTGTTTTCCGGTAAGATACATCTCCCTGATTAAGAAAAGGGCACTTAAAATTTTTTCTATGGTACCAATTTTTTTTTAAGTGTAAAAAACGTTTTTCGCACTTTTTTATTTTCTAACTCGAGTTGTGATAAACCGAATTCGGTCATTAAGGACTCATTTTACAGGTAATAGAATGCCCTTTAACTTTCTTATACACATCATTAAGTTCCATTCATTAGTTCAAAAGCTACACTTCGTCAAAGTTGAAAAATTTGGAAAAAAATCAAAAACGCTGGCATAAATGGCTTCTTTAAAAATACACGCGTAAAAACCGAAATTAGTTTTATGTTGTTTTCTTGAAGGCTGAACCATAACGGAGAATATGCGCCATAGATCACGACAATCCGTTGGTAAATCGATTTTTAACAGATTTTTAAACGTATATACCCAAGTTCAGTATTCGGGAGCAGCGGCCGTTAAACGTTATTTTAAATTTTCAGTGTTGGGGAACGTAAGAATTTGGTGCAAGTTGTTATGCATAACGTCAGTTTCCTTGCTAAAAATATATAAAAATGATTTCCTCGTAACTGCAATCGCATACTTTTTGGCTTGCCCAGCGCTAATAGCAAGGAAACTGACGTTATGCATAACAATCGCAATATTATTTAAAAAGTTATAAACTTTTTTTGGGTCAATCGGCAGGTATTGATGATAACAATACATTTCAGTTAAAGTTTTTATTCTAGCATCAAAACTGTAGGAGCCACAGTTTTGGGCGGTTTGTGGGCGTTAGAGTGGGCGTGGCACTCTGCTGAAACAAACTTGCGCTCCGCAGGAATCTCAGGAATCTGCATGCCTAATCCCAGTATATAGTTTCCGAGATCTCAGCGATCATACGGACAGACGGACATGGCTAGATCGACTCGGCTAGTGATCCTCATCAAGAATATATATACTTTATGGGGTCGGAAACGCTTCCTTCTACCTGTTACATACTTTCCGACGAATCTAGTATACCCTCTTACTCTACGAGTAACGGGTATGAAAATGGCGCACCGAAAGAAAGGTCCTGGAATGTCCTCTTTAAATTGTCCACAGACAAAACAGCTTTTCAGATAGAATATGACCTTACAAATCTAACACAAATTAAAAGGAGAGAAACACAGTTAAAAATGAAATTTTAATGTATTGTAAGGAATTATTTAAACTATGTCTTGTAAAACACACGTTGTCAAAGCTTCTGCAATTGACAGCCGCCCGGACATGTTGCATTTTATTAGGCCACTCTGGTGGAAACCGAACTCAAAAGTCTGCAAACAATTAAAAGACAAGAATGCTTAATTAAAACTTAAATATTACGCTATTTCAACACACCGCCGCCATTAATTATCCTTAACACAAATTCACCTCATCATAATGATACTAATTATGCATCAATTAAGACATATATTGTAGTCTGCGTCGTGTGAACATTTTTCTTCCAAAGGCATATAACAAGTTTTAAAATGGCCTGCGTGCCCTATATTTTTAAACAGCAAGGGAGAGAATGCGCTCTTTGAAGTATGAGTCAACGATAAAGGTGCCATGGTAACAGGAAACAGTTGTTGATATGAGGTTTAAGCTTTTGGAGGGTTTGCAATTAAAGTAGACATGTAAGTATTAAGCCGTTTTAAAATTGCAGAATCCCAAACATTCGTGTAACTGGACGCTGATTTGAAAAGAAACCCAAGACTTTTAAAAGCCAAAGCCCATTGAAAATGGAATCGCATTTGTCGCTTTACTTCCTGAAATGTTCTTCATTAAAACTGAGGCATATATTTGATACTAGCAAGCTTCCGTGACTCATTTTAGTTTTATGCTATCAAAATATGTAAACTCTCTATTTGAATATGAGTTAAAATATAAGCAATTTGCTATAAATATTGTACGATTCAAGTTATTGCTGTTGGGATATTAGTCATTTACACTTTCATTAATGTTTGACATTTGACAAAAAAATCTTTTTTTTTATAAACGTTCCTTTAAAAGTCAATAAATGTACTTTATATTAACGAAGGATTGAAAGACAGTCAAAGGAAATGGTTCCTAGAAGTGAGCCATTGGAGATACGTATTCCTTTACGGTATTTGTCGCTATAGTTTCTGGACTTTGAAACTGTACCTACTTAACTTCAGAAATAACTTAATTAAAAGTGAAGCTGAAAATATATTTAATACTATTAAAATTCGGAGAAACGCTTTAGTTGGGTGTTATACAAATTATTAAGTAAAGGGGAGCGTCTATTAGAAAAACTTGTAATTGACTTTAAACTTTCCATTCATATCGATTTAGTGTGAGCTGAATATGAAGCAATAGGCTTAAAATATTGTAAGATAAAAGTTAAAGATGCTAGATGACTATAAGGAAATTAGTCATTTACATTTTCAGTAATGTTTGACGTTCCAGTAAAAAATGTTTTTCTTTACAATACGTTCCTTTAAAATAAAAGTATTCCATATTAATGAGGGATTAAAAGACAGTAAGAGGACATGGAAAGGAAGGAAAAAATTACGTTTTTCCTTATGATACGTTTCTTTAAAAGCCAATACAAAAATTCGTAGTGGTTAATTAAAAAGGAAAACAGTCAAACGAAATGTTTTCTAAATCTGCGGTATGGCCGAAACGGATTCCTTTTACTACATTTTTTTCAATTGTCGGTCAAACGCGTTGGTGTCTTTTTTACGACCACAATTAAATTCAAATTTCTTTCTAGGAACAAAACAACATCTTAGAGAAAAGGATTATGTATTCCCTAATTGGTGTTTTTTGTTTATTACAATTTACAAATTAATGTCCTTAAAACAGTGGTCATGCTTGCCTTGTGGAAACTCAATTAATAGGGTGCTCACTTCTTTACTTTATGGCTGATTAATATTTGTTTTTCTGGTGAAGGGAACCGTTTGTCGCTTTTAATGCCCTGAAGGGCAATTCATGCCAGCATGAGATGGGGCAATGGGGAAATATAAAACCTACAAGGACAGCAAACAAGAAAAAATAAAAATGCTTATGATAACAGTTGACTTATTCGCAACATGTCATGAGAAATAAATATCAGTGGCATACATATCAACTTTTTGCCACATGCGGATTTATAAAGTTCATTTGGTTTGACGAAATGCTGTTACGATTTGGTAGTACCAAAAGCTAATAATCCTGAATAAAAGAAATATTTTTTTTAGTATAACGCAATAACTGATTTATCTTTTCGCACATATGTGCAATACATTCAGAAAACTTTATCAGCTTACAAAAAATGTACATATTTTTATGATCCGCATTCATTTTCATTCGCAAATGCGAAAAGATGAATCATATAGCTTTCTCCCATTTATGAAGGACTTTTGATGGATTTGCTTTTAATCTTCCTGTGTC